TTCATTGGTTTACATAGTATCTTGTTGTTTATAGTAAGTATAAGTGATATATATAAGTTTGTGAGGAGACACAGCTGAACTATTCAGGAGTATACAGCTGATTTTTTGTGGCAAAAATGCGCAAACTAGAACACAGCCTCCATTCACCATGAGCCCTCAGGGTCAGCCAGGATGTCTTACACAGGTGACCAAGAGCATGGGTGCAACTGGTCAGCTGTAAGGCAGTGCTGCCCAGTAGACTCACCTGAAGAGCCTTTAAACACAGCCAAGTTAAATTTGAAGGTCTCAGAGAGGGAGCCAGGTGTCAGTATCCTTATAAAGAATCCTAGGTGATTCCAATGTGCACCAAAGTTTGGGCACCTCTAGCTTAGAAGAGGGTGAGTTCCAAGAACTTCTCCAAGCTTTGCAGTTAGCTTCGGATCTTCATTGGATATTCAGCATTAATCTTCTAAAAGATCTTGGGAGATTTATTTCATATTTGTGGCCCTCAATTTTCTCATCTATAAAAGGGGGCTAATTTCTGTATCCCAGGATTGTTGGGAAGATGTGGTATTAGGAGAGTTAGAATTTTCCTGGTACTTTGCAGGGGGTTATTACAGTGTGGCTCAGGAGGAGGTGAAACTATTGTGTTGCTTCCTGCTGGTAGAATAAGGCATGTGGGGAATTTGGTCTGGTCAGAGTCTAGACTTAAAGTATACACATTAGAATATAAATCAAAAATTACTCACAGCAGGCTGAGTTATGTCCCTTTAACCCTGTGGCCTTTTCAGAAATCTGAAAAGTCGATGAGGAATCTGCTTCTGACCTGCTAATAATAAGCACCTACTCCATCCGTTGTAAAACTAGTTTCTCCCTCGCCACTTGTAGTGATGTAAATTCTTGATAATAGCAGCTGGCCGGTGCTGAACCACCACGCGTGGAATGCAGAATTCTGTGACTGCTGACGCTTGGGGGCGTACAGAGCAGAGCGTGATCTTTCCATTATCTAAAGGTGACTCTCAGTTTGAGTCATGCAGGTATAATTATAGGTATTTTGTCATGTTCTTCTTCAGCACAGTCTAAACTGCATCTTTTGTTCTCCGGGTTCTGTTTTACGACGGGTACGTTACGCGTTTTATTCCATTACATCAAATGGACTGTTAGAGCCTGAAAGTCCACATTGGTCCCTGTCTTTGCCCTTTAATCTGCAGTATGTGTGGAATCATTGAGCTTCTCCTGTCTGTATAATTAGGCTGCCAAACATGGTATTTTGCTGTAAAAATAACTGTTTCCTTACCGCGTTGCCATGACCCAACCTTGCATGATACAGAATAGAATGGAAGGAAAGGGACGTATCTTCCCCTTTAAGGGGTGTTACTGGCCAGGGTGGAAGATGAATAAAACATAGCATCCTAACGTAGAAAGGTCTTTGTCACAGATGTGCCAGAGCAGGTAGTCAGGATTCCCATGCTGCGCTTTCTGTAAATATGCTTCCCCTGTGGGTCAGTACCGTACGCGGAAGGTGGGGAGAGGTAGAGACCAGGCTGAGGTTAGGACCGTGGGTCCTGATCGTTGTCATCCTACGGCAGGAGCAGTGCCTTGCCGTCCTCGTCAGCGCTGTCCTGTGGGCCCCCAGGTCCTGCACCCTCCCCAGGCAGGAGCCTCAGGCTCTGACACAGCCATGCACCTTGCATTAGCTTTCTCCTCCAACACCTCTCACCCCGAATTACACGGCCTCCACAACAGCTTTGGGAAGTCCTCATCTCTCCCTCTGCTGTTTTCCGTCTGTCCAGAGTAGGGAAATTTGGTGTCCTTGAAGCAGCAGGACTGGGGCCACCTGGAAAGGTAGGACTCTAGGACTCTCCTGCTGCCTGGGAAAGAGGGAGAGGCAAGAGAGATAGATCAGGATGGAAGTGATGTGCTGAGGGCCACACTGGCCTGGGAGAGTGCGTCTGGGCCAGGAAGGCAGCCTTGTACTTCTGACATCTCATATGAGATGACATCTCAGACTTGTTTTTATTTGCATTTCTTTAATTAATGACAAGATGCATTCTTCATATGCTTATTGGCCATTGTATATTGCCTTTTGAGAAATATCT